GTTCATCAACCGCCTGTGAGTGAACATGTGTTTCATTTTCTGCTATTGTGTCAGTTTGCTGAAGATTATGGTTTCCAGGTTCATCCATGTCCCTACAAAGGACACAAACTCATCATTTTTTATGGATGCATAGTATTCCATGGTGTATATGTGCCACATTTTCCTTGTCCAGTCTATCATTGATGGGCATTTGGGTTGGTTCCAGGTCTTTGCTATTGTAAACAGTGCCGCAATAAACATACGTGTGCATGTGTCTTTATAATAGAATGATTTGTAATCCTTTGGGTATATACTCAATAATGGGAATACCAGGTCAAATGGAATTTCTATTTCTAGGTCCTTGAGGAAGCACCACACCATCTTCCACAATGGTTGAACTAGTTTACACTCCCACCAACAGTGTAAAACTGTTCCTATTTCTCCACATCCTCTCCAGCATCTGTTGTCTCCAGATTTTTTAATGATTCTAACTGGCGTGAGGTGGTATCTCAATGTGGTTTTGATTTGCCTTTCTCTAATAATCAGTGATGATGAGCATTATTTCATATGTTTCTTGGCCTCATATATGTCTTCTTTTATTTCAAAATATTTTCATTCAGGGAGTGCTTCAGCTTCTAAACATGAAAAATTAATCCTTACCTATATCAATGTTAAAACAAATATTTTGAAAAGAAAGTTGATTGATCTATACCTTGTTTATTGCTTCAATATTTGCACGGTGGGAAAGAAGTTTTTCTGCCAGTGAAGTCCCCTTATTATATATAGCATAATGAAGGGCAGTGTTTCCATAGACATCTTGAATGTTTGGACTGGCGCCATGTTTCAGCAGATAAATGGAACAATTCTCCTCCTGGCCGTGTACAGCCTATCAGTGTTAAATAAAAAACTAGACTGTAAATTCTAAGAATTCAAAATACATATTCCACAGGTTTTACCAGCTAGTTATATTTAAATGCGATAAGTTCATTTTATTTCTATGTATTTAAATCAAATCCATTTGATGCTGAAAGAGTTGTCTACTACATACCTTCATTAAAGGTGTCCTGTTTAGTCTGTCACCGATGTCAATCTGGCATTGTCTGCTCACTAACAGACTGACAACTTCCACATGGCCATAAACACAGGCCAAATGTAGAGCAGTCCTGTGAGAGTAAGAGGAGTTTTCAG